TTTTGGTGCAATTACACTGCAAATGTACCAGATCTAGCTTGTACCCTGCTAAAGCCTCTGTCAAATCACCGCTCCCTCTCTCTTCCCTCATCTCCTTCCTCTGAAAAGCTGCACCTACACAGAGGCTTTCTAATTTTTCCGAATTACGACTTACTACCAAGGAATCGTCGCAGTCGTGATAGATATTCAATTTCGGATCGATTGTCATAATTTCCGAGGTATGTCCATAGAGCAAGAATTGTCCCATAGAATCAGTTGTGCCTTCAGCAAGCAAGTCATCAAGGTCTGGTCCTGGAAGATAAAAGTTCATTTTAGCTAAAAGGGGTACAGAATTTGTTTTTCAGTTTTTTCTATATTTATCCAATTTTTGAGTTCTTCTATTTACACAGTTTTTGGAACTGGGTTTGAAGTTTAGCCTTTTCAAAAGTTCCCTGAGAAGAGAAAAAGGTAAGAGTTTGCGACAACAAGGTTAAATAATCACATGGGAAGACGATAAGTGCAAGATGACGTTTTCCGTCATCTAGTGCCTATTGTATTGCCATTTGCTTGATTAGAAAAGAAAAGGAATTGAACAAGTTCACAATGCAAGCAGTCTAAAGGAAATTGAGTTTGGCTGAAAGATATATCTTGCAACGAATGTCAATGCATAGTGCAAAAATTTTAGGATTTCTTACGTTTTAAAGGATTTAGCTCCCAAATACATCCCTCCAAAAGAGGGTCATGTCTCTTGGATGGTCTACTTTGACTAATTCTAATTGGCCTTTTCTTGTTGTTGAGTGACACAACCTTATTTTCTAACTTGCCTGAATCATCATCGTAAAGCTTTACTTTAGTGTTAGCTAATGGTTTGTCTCCACACATCAATACACCTTTAACACCAGCTGATTGGGTGAAAAGTGTTTGCGCTAACGTTGAGCAGGACAGAATAGTCAGCACAATAGTTATAATGGACATCTGAAAAGATTTGCTTCATATGAGTCATTTTTTTGGGCGCTCGACATGTAAGAAAGAGATGACTTCAAAGCAGACTATCAAGAAAACTTCATACCATCTCGCTGTACTACACTTTAGTTTCGTTTCCTCTAAGCAGAGTAGAAAACTGACTACTGTAGCTAACAGGAGTCTAACTTTCCTAAAAAGATGGCATGCTTTAATTTTGAAGCGAACGGCATGCAAAGGCGACTTCAAGGTAAATGGAGGTTATAGTGTATATATAGGATTGAGGTGAGTCAACATGAAGCAGGTCAGATGAGCATTGAGTCATCCTAAGCATGTTAGTGGTTGTACTTAGATGCTAAAATCATTTCTGTTCCAGTAGGGTCAAACTAGTTTCCTCAGAATCATTGAAGGGATGGCAAAACCAATTGAATCTTTTAAATGGTGCTATGAGTACGTTGGCCGAATAAAGAAGTTTTAACATCTTGGTGTGAGCTCAGCATAACAAGAAAGAGGTCTATGAGTATTTTATTTGATTATAAAGGGGAAAGGAAAGCAATGCTACCGAATAGCTTAGTTCTCATCAATTAAAGGTATTGAATTGCTCAGCCGGTATCATATTAGAAAAATTCCAATACTGGCGAAATCACCGATCAGGGGAGAATTAAAAGTAAGTTACGATCGTTCTTTCTAGAGCTCTATAGTTTATTTACATCTAATCCAAAAAAACAAATCGGTGCGTCGAATCTTCCCATTCTTTGTGATTTTTGAGAGCAAAAAGTTTCAGAAGCTAAGAGTCAAAAGGGATTGTTAAGTTTATTAGTAGTGGTGATAAAAAATTCCATGCAAAAGTGGTTATCAAGAAGAAACGTAAAAATAAGAAGTAGTGGCCAAGTGGTGAACAAAGGTTTTATAAAGGGATACATTAGCGTCATGGGGCCTTTTACAACAAAGTCGATTGGCACCGACGGTAAGAACAGGTTTTTCACGGCAGTTTATTGTCTCTGTCGTCGCTAGGTAAACGGAAACGCGGGATGAGTCATTTACGTAGTTTGTAGAACCTCTCAGAAAGGTTGAAGAATACAAAACACTTAAAAAGTTCAAAATCGAGAATCATTTATCTGATCAGTGAAGAGATTTTCGATAATTGCTGTACAGTTTGTTTCAAAGAATCGTAGTTTCAATCCTTCTAGACATGTGCGGCTTTCTTCACACCAAGAATCTTTTCGGCTACTCCAAAATAGTAAACTGTTTGAGCGATAGCAAATAACGGTGCGATAGCCACAACACGACAAACGGCTCCTTTAAACAGTGCTGGTACTCCTTCTGTTCGCAAAATACTACTGGAAAGAAACGAAAATGTTCTAGAAACCTACAAGTTAGGGTAAGAATTATCCTTACTATAGTGCTTGCGCCACATTTTTATAAACCAGCTCATGAGCTTTCTTTCTAATCGTTTGGATCCGAGTTTTTGCCACTGAAATTATGGACTTTACCTATAATTTCTTAATTGTAACGTGCATTATGCTCTTTTTATACTTCGACTATAAGATCTATAACAGACCATACAGGAAAATTGCAGCAAATTCATGTTTAAATCTGGTTTGTCCAAATTTTTATAAACCCATGATTATGGCGACATAACTTAATTGTTTGTGTCATTATCGTGTTTAAATACCTCTCCTTGCTTGATACCGTTGTTCTAACTAGGTTTTCATTATTTTCATCCTAATTGCTTTAGCCCCCCTTTTTAAGCACCAAATGCCTCACTTGTAAGTCTATTCGTCCATCTAGGAAAAGAGCGGGTGGCTAGCAATATGGCGTCGCAGCGGTTGAAGACAGACTTAACCGAGACCAATTAATATAGCCAGCTGTATGACAGTTGTTTTTCATTC